AAGGCATGCCCAAAAGACAGTTTCTCACTCCCTAGAATTGATCAGTTGGTAGATTCCATTGCGGGACATGAGTTGCTAAGTTTCATGGATGCTTATTCTGACTACAACCAAATTCCTATGTACCCAGGTGATGAGGAACATACTTCGTTTATCACGGATCGAGGCCTCTACTGCTATAAGATGATGCCTTTTGGGTTAAAAATGCTGGAGCTACTTATCAGAGGCTCGTTAACAGGATGTTTGCCGACCTGCTTGGTAACACTATGGAGGTCTATGTGGACGACATGCTCGTCAAAAGCTTGAAGGTGAGTGATCACAGAACTCATCTTAATGGAGCCTTCGAAATTTTGCGAAAGTATTGCATGAAGTTGAACCCCCTCAAGTGTGCATTTGGGGTTGCAACAGGCAAGTTTCTAGGGTATATAGTCAATCAATGAGGCATTGAGGCAAACCCTGAAAAGATACAAGTATTGATTGAAATGAAATCCCCTCAGAAACCAAAAGGAAGTGAAGAGCCTGACCGGCCGGGTGGCCGCTTTAAGTCGCTTCATATCGAAATTCACAGATAAGTACCTCCCCTTCTTTAAGGTCCTAAAAGGAGGCCAAAAATTTCAATGGACCGAGGAGTGTGAAGAGGCTTTCCAGGGGTTCAAAAAGCACATGGGACAAGGCCTCCCTATATCCAAACCCAAGCTTGGAGAGATTCTACAACTATACTTGGCTGTCTCTCTTGATGCCATAAGTGTCGTACGCAACTGCCAGTCTACTACATCAGCAAGGCATTACTGCCTCCTGAAACTCGATATCCAAATATGGAAAAGTTGGCCTTGACATTGATAATTGCATTTCGCAAGTTGAGGCCTTATTTTCAAGCTCACACAATCTATATGTTGACAAATTTTCCTCTCAGGCAAATATTGCAAAAACCCGACGCTTCAGGAAGGCTACTGAAATAGGTAGTGGAATTGAGTGATTTGAGGTCCTCTTCAAGGCTAGAACCGTTATCAAAGGCCAGGCCTTAGCAGATTTTGTGGCAGAATTCACTAATACCCCTGAAATGGACGAGGCTACGGAGCCCATTGAGCCTCCTACGTGGAACTTATTCGTAGACGGTCCAGCTGGGAAAACAGGCTCAGGCGCGGGCGTGGTTCTCGTAAGCCCCGAAGGTCATAAATTGAATAGTGTCGTATGGTTCGGATTTAAAGCCGCGAATAATGCAGCGGAATATGAGGCCCACCTTCACATCAGTAGTGACTTCAGCTTATTGTGGGACAGGTGAATAGCAACTTCGTAGCTCGGCATAAGGCCATGGCCTCCTACCTTAAATTGGTAATGAGCTTACTCCCTTCTTTCGAGAAATTTGAATTAAACCAAATACCAAG